CTTTGGATGACCATGAGATTCCCTGTTCTTGCTTCTAAATGCCTCACTTTATACTCAGTGCATTGGCAAAAGTGATGAATCTTTGAGTTAGAGGCCTCTACAACTTATTTGCATATTCCTGCTCAGTTGTTTGCTGGTAGTTACAAAGAACCACACCACACTTTCACTTCACCACAAAGAGTAAATTAAACTTTGTATTTGAAAAATAATTGTATTTGTTAAAAAAAGAGAAACATTATAAATTAAAATGTTTTCCCTAAATTATGTGAGTTTAATTTATCTTATCTTATGTGATACATCTTATTGTTTTTATGCAATTAGATGACATTCCTGGTAGTTGACAATTTTCTAGTCATCTGAGGCCCTAAAAACAGAACTTACCTTTCTAATAATAGGCTTAGCAATTAACTCATTCATTAAAATCATTATTTGTTTTTGTTTTGAAAAATTTGCTATTACTTTTGTAATTCCATTGACCATAACATTTTTTTAATAAAAAATCTAAAGTAGGAAGTAGGTATTGTGGCATCATTTTCAGACCCACAAAACGAAGCCTTACAATACTTAGGTAGCTTATCTGGGATTTGGATCATTTAACCCATGTCATTGTCGTCATCATCCTTTTTTTTCACCCCAAAAATAAATTGGGTTATTTCCAGGTGGTACAGAATTCAGGGCATAAAAAGAACCAAGATCAGCTGCTGACAGGACCGTGCACTGGGTTTACTCTGACTGCGCAGCTGAAAGAGGACTGGCCGAGTGAGGAGAACTAAAGAGGTGACGCAGTCTATGTATGTACATAAACAAAATACCAGCCCGATTGGCGTGGAGTCGATTTAGACTCAGAGAGACCTTTGCTGTAAGTCTTTACAGGAGCAGATAATGTCAGTGTTCTCCCACGAAGTGGCTGCTGGGGGTAAGCCATCCACCTTGTATTGGTTAGCAGTCCAATACTTACCAAACAGTGCCACCATGTGCATGTGTGTGTGTGTGTGTGTGTGTGTTTACTTAACAAAAGTTTATTCTTAAATGTCCAATAGATTCCAAAACATCACTTCATTCTTTTTTAAAACTTTTAATTATTTTTTCATAATTTTATTGGCACATAATCCACATATCATACAATTCAATAGTTCAATCATATCAAGAAGAATTGTACAATCATTACTCCAATCAATTCTGGAACTTTTTTATAGTTAAATCACTTTTAAAATGAGTTGTGTAATCGCCATCAGTTCTAGTACTCCCTCCCCTTTTTACTTACTTTTTTTGCTTCCTGAACCCTCTAACTTTCCCCATCTCCCACCCTCATCCTTTTCTCCCCTATAAACCCTCAGTTCTTATCTCTATGCATCTTCTCCTTCTGTGCTTCACAAGCTGGAAAACCCAACAAACAATAAAACTCAGAAACAAAATAAAGTTGTAAGGATAAAATAATAATAATACAAAGATAAAAATACAAATAATGAGTTAAAAAGTAAGAAAGACCACCATCAGTATTTAAAAGGCCAGGGCAGAAATTTTTTTGACATGGAACAATCAAGAAATACTTGGACCTAGACCAATTTCAGATTGGGTCAAGAGGGAAGTCAGCTGACTGAGTATCAAGTTCAATCCAGGATAATCACGATTACAATGATTTCTATCTGATAGTAAAGTTGTTTGAGACCCTTGACTGTGGCCAGAGGGGATCAGCCAGTAGCATAATCTGACTACTCTGCAGATTGGTTTTTGCCCCCACCCCCAGCCTTATACAAACAACATCACTTTATTCTAACTACAGGTGGTAACATGTTATAGCAGATAATTCAATTATTTAAACAGTGTAATGAAGGCTCACCATTGCCTTGGTTACAACGAGTAGCTTGTTTTATGCTAGACTTCTTAATTCTTCCCGTGGCCAGGGGTCCTTTCGTACAACCTTCATTTTTAGCTCCTTGAGTTTCCTCTGTTCTTCTTCTCTTTCTTTAGTCTGTTTGTTGGACTGTTTCAGGCACTTTTTGTCACAGTTGCAGCCAGGCATGGTATCTCCTGCCCCTTCCCCACCGAAGCAGAGCGCTCAACCATGCATCACAATTACTCTATATGGCTTGCTTCTTACACCTTTACATAAAATATTTAATTATAACATTTAGTTGCTTGATTTTTGCCAATTATACTACATTTCAAGATCTACTTTTTCTTGAAGTAGTATTCAAGTCTTATTTTGTATGCATAGCTATACTTCTTTTATTTTTAAAAGTTTGGATTGCCAACATTATTTGGCATGGTATTTATTTTCTGCCAATTTAATAATTTGGTCATGGTTCTAAGTTGAATCACTAATAGTGCATATCCCAAATCCACTGCCATTGAGTCAATTCTGATTTAAAGAGACCCACGTAGAGTTTCCATGGCTGATGGATTTGAACTGTTGCCCTTGCAGTTAGCTGCGCATCACGTACCCCTCAGGTCTGCCTGGCCTCCAACAATACATAAAGTTCTAGGTAATTTTAACATATTTGTCAACTTTTTTTTTCAAGACAACAATTCTTTTCAGCTAATTAAAAAAAACTATACAAAGAGTTCTCATATTTCCATCAGAAAAAAATCACCTATTTTTAATGCTTTGCCACATTTGCTGTGCTATTCTCTCTCTTTCTATATGTATGTGTGTATAAATTTTTCTTCTGAGTTATTTCAGAATACATTGCAGACATTTTACTTCATTGCCCCAAATACTTAAGTATTGTCTAAGAAGTTTTCTTTTTTAAATATCAAGTTGTTATAGTCAAGGGACATAGAATTTAATTTCCTGCATATGTTCAGTAGATGGCATTGGGGAGGATTATATTTTTTGAACCTCCAATTTAAGTGTGATGTTTCCAATTTGTCATCAGTATTTTCCTGGACCATTTGTTGCTGCCTCTCTTGGCTTTGTTGTTGGCACTTACCTCTAGTTTCTGACACACCTTGAACAAGTATGAGCGTTCACTGCCTTCCCAGACATAATGCTGCCATTTAAACCTTGAGAAACCCTTTTCTGCTACTGCCTTTCCCCCTTTTGCTCCCTGTTCACAAAGACATGTGTCATAAGGGCAAACGAGTTTCAATAGGCTCCTAATGTGGATACTGGAAACTCCACCTATCTGCTAAGTGTTTCTGACTGTGAGCTAAGTGGAGGCAGGGTACTTGTCATTCCTGTGCAACAGTTGAGCTGAAGGAATGCTGTGTGGCTTGTTGGATGTTTCTTAGCTTCTTCAAGTGTTTTAGGGTGTGTGTCCAGACTGGAGGGTCTTGTAGTCTGTGTGAGAAATCTGGATTCCTTCTTGGTGCCATGCTAATCATCAGACCGTATTTATCTCGGGCTTCTTTCATGACTGGCATGGTGATTGGAGTTTTTTGAATCGTATCATATACAATACATAATTAAGTTACACTATAATAGTCAAACAATTATAGCTCTGCCACTCACCAGCTTTAAATGGGGCAAGTTAACATCTTTAAGGCTTCATTTTACAATTTATAAAATGGAGCTGATAGTACATAATCTTTTAGCTCTTAGGAAGATTAAATAAGGAATGTAAGTACAGTGTTTAGAACAAATCTGACACAAATTAATATTTCATATTAGATAGTCATATTTGGAATATGTGGCAGACCCTGTATTAAAAAGATAGTACATGATAAAAACATATGATATGACAGTATAGCATTTAATGGAATACTTTAGTTGTGACATGCAGATTATAAATAGTTGGGGAATTTAGAGAAGGGAAAGAACAGTCTTGTGAAACCATTTAATATGCCTGTGCTTCAAATTTTCCACTGGGCACACTAGAGATAATGCTAGGTTATCTCCCAGAGAATAATTAAGATGTTAGAATATTTGTTTGCTTTTAGCCTTAGGGAACTATATGAAGTGAATTTTAATACTTGTATTTAAAATTTTTTTCTTACGTGAACATTTTGCAGCTTTATTAGAAAACTTAAAAATGAAGACTAGAAACATTTCTATCTCAGAAAGGTGCTTGGTTTGGTATTACTTCCTGTTGTTTCTCCAGCATTTTAACTAATTGAAAAGTAAAGTTATTAAGTGGATGATCTTTGATTGTGAACCCCTAAACCTAACCCAAGGGGTAACTTAAACATCCATTTGGTTCTCTGACAAAAACCGAACAGACAAGCACAGGAGAGATTCGTCTTCCTCTACAGCTGCCAAGGACATGTGGGTTATCCGCAGTAGAGGTTTCTCTGGCACACACCATTACTTGGCCCTCCCGTCTTAAAACAGGCTTTCACAACCATACACATGTACAACCTTCTCTAAAGAGATTTTACTCACAACACCCAGAATAAATTGTTTCCACTCCCAATTTGGTGTGGGCTTGCTTACTTGGTGATTTTTTTCTTTCTTTTTTTTAAGCCTTATTTTTGAAAGTTTATATTTGACTTTTTTTTTTAATTTCCTTCTAGAAATTTGTGGAGAGGGTTTTTGTCGATGTGTAATATTTTTTGTGGTGGTGGTTGTTTTTTAAACCTCCTTGGTTTGAGTGTTTCTCTATAATTGTTGTTGCTGGTTTTGTTTTGTTTTTCTCCTGTGGCATTGTTTGCCAAGGTTAGGTTTATAGTGAGAGGTGAGGCAACGTGGATCTTGGCAGAACAGCACAAAGCCAGTAGAGTCATTAACTGACGTAAGCTTTTGATTTTTTTTTCCCATCTCTCCTATTAAAACTCTCTGACACAGCTGGCTGTTCTAGTCACAGGAGAAAAGAGATTTTCTGAAACTCTGGATGGCATGATAGAAGTTTTGAGCACATTAAAAAAACCATCAGCAACAACATCAACAAAACGCTCTTATAATTACCAAAAAAATACAACAAACTTCTTGGCCTGTGGAATCTTTGTCACTTGCTCAGAACTTTAGTTAGCCTTTTTACTTGAGAGAAAATGGGATAAGACAGTAGAGGGTGAGAACAGTTATGTTGGATTTCTGCTTATCTGTCTGCTTCTACTCCTAGTTGGAAAAATCTTCCGTCCGAAGAAGCATTAAAAACCAGCCTACAGAACACCTCTCACCCCGATTTTGGATGCTGCTGGAGTTACGGGTTACAGACACTGCACCGGGATTTTATGGAGGCGGTTCAAGAAAAATAGAAGAAAGCAACACCTACAGACTTCTGTTTGCAACAGTCCCGGCCATTTACCCTTTGGACGTCATCTGGAGGAAATGAAGGACAGCTCTGTCCCCTGGATCTAAGAGATTACCTGAGTCTCTTGCGCTACATACGTGATGTTTGCAAGGTTGTAAACTCAAAATCTTCTGACACAAATTCATTAAATTCTGTATTTTCTTTCTATTGAGAACTTCGGCAGAAAAAAACACTTCCTGCCCAAAGGATACAAAATCTTCTCAGTGTTTTCAGGCTAAATGTGAACCATAATGTCGTGGAAGAGAAATTATTTTTCCGGAGGTCGGGGTAGCGTCCAAGGAATGTTTGCACCTCGGAGTTCGACTTCCATAGCCCCCAGCAAAGGGCTCAGCAATGAGCCAGGGCAAAATAGCTGCTTCCTCAACAGTGCCCTCCAGGTAAATGGCTTTCTTGTGGTGAGCTTTGGCTTTTAGTTGTTGATGTTGTATTTTTAATAACTCTTCTAAATATAATATTTGGCAATTCCTGAGGCCAGCAGCCTGAATTCACTTAAAAATTTGTATCTCTGTGGTCTTATAGGCAAACTACATGATGTCCTTGAATATCTATTATCTCATTTGTAAAAAGAATCAATAATAATGACAGAACTATAATAGCTGTAACTACTACTACTTATCTTCCTAAGGAAGAGTTCTGAACCTGGTGCTCTTTCTTCCTGAACTGTCTTTTTACTATATATACACTCCCTCACCCCCAACCCCCACTTTCTTTCTTATGAGACTTAGGTGTATTATCACCTAGTTGATTTTCTGTAGTACAGAAAGCAAAATTCTTTTCACAAATCAAAGATGATCACATAGGTTATTTTTAATATCCAGGTTCTTAAATTTGTTAAATTCTGTATCCTCTTTCTATTGAAGATTTCAACATGAATTCCTTTAACATGAACAGTGGTAGAATTTTTGCTTACTATGTGGGAGACCTGAGTTTCATTCCTTGACGAATGGACCTTAAGCAGAGCCACCTCTCATTTCTCTGTGGAGGCTTGCCTGTTGCTGTGATGCAGAACAGGTTTCAGTGGAGGTTCTAAATTAAAGCAGAATAAGAAGAAAGATCTGGTGATCTACTTTTGAAATTCAACCAGTAAAAATCCTAGAGATTACAATAGTCTGATTCCAGTGTGCATGAGGTTGCCATGAGTTGGAAGCCAATTCAAAGGCAGTTAAAAACAGCCAGGGATTGTACTTCTCAAATTTTCCCTTTGGATGTATTTTGCCGTCTCTGTAGTCTCACAGTCCCAAAGCTAGAGCTAGATTCTGTCTTTCTGCTGTACCTAATCAGGCTCGTAGAGTGTTAAGCTCACCTCCCTGGGGGCTCACCTTCCAGTATTTGTGTTTTCACTTTGTGCACTTTAATGCAGTTTTCCCCCTTTGTCAGGTTTTGTGGCACTTGGACATCTTCCGTCGTAGCTTCAGGCAACTCACGAGTCACAAGTGTATGGGCGATTCCTGCATCTTTTGTGCTCTCAAGGTAACATTTTCAGATTTGTTTCTTCTTACTGCTATTAAGTTGCCAAATGATTACTATTGAGTTGGTTTGGCTAATGAAGGAGATACAAAAGATTTTGTTTTTATAATTAGGTTTGTTTCTTTCAAAGAAATACTGTGTGGTTCAGTTTGTCTGTCTTTCTGTCTTTGCTCACGGAGCTCTAATTAACATGATAGGATACCTGAAATTCAAGTGTTATTCTACTTTGAGTGTTTTCCTGAAAAACTAATTCATAATTTTCATTTGAAAGAATAAGCCACTAAGTATTTATAAAGGGATTGATTATTGAGAAATGCTAGCCTTAAAAATTTCCAGGGGGGGCGGGATTTCTTGTGTTTTCTGTTACCAAACGTAATGATTTTTTAGCCCCTATATCATACTTATTTACTTCTTGCTTTTTCTGGTTCTAAGTTTTTTATTTCTAAATAAAATGGAGTTGGGAGTTCACTTAGAGTAAGAGAAAATGGCCTAAGATATTTTGACTAAAACTGTAAGTATGCTGCTAAAGAGGAACATTAAGATGTATAAAGGGCCAATTCCCCTTACTTTATCTGTTTTTCCAATATGGTAGCATCCTTGTGTGTTTTCTTGGTCCAGATGTACAATGGATTATTTGTGGTTGACTCAATCTGCCTGAGATCCAGACAAGTTTTCATAGTTGATTTTCAGCCTCATGCAGTCTGAATTCTTATTAGTTCATCATATAGATGCTTAGAAGTAATGCTTAGAAGTATGTTTTCTGTGGTTGATTTTAACATTCTAGAGAAGGAACGAGGACCAAATGATCTAGGAGGATTTTCTGTTCATCAATTACTTGGAGCAATGGATTCAAAAGAAACTTTTCAGCAGCATTACTTAGGCATCTTAGGTTCATGATAGGAATGTATCTTAGAAATACTTAATTCTTCTTACTCTCTTTTTCCTACTTGGGTCTCACACCCTTTGTTTTTAACAAAGAATGTAATTCAGTGGCAAATTGGAGTGTTTCAAGATGAAATTTTAATAAAACCAAGTCTTTTACAGCTTGGTGGTAGCATTTCTGACTACATCCATTGATCTGATTTCCTAAAAGGTATATTGACGCTAAGTAGCTAGTTTGGGATAAACTAGAAATACAGTATCCCCTCAGTCAGTCAGTCCAAGGAGACTGGTTCATGGCATTAAAACCAAAATATGAAGGCAAGATACTTAGTGGGGAGATGTGAATCCTAGAGGAATCTCTGGTAGAAGAATCAAAAACTGGAATCTGTTATCTGTATCAGGAAGAGCAGATAGAATTTATAGCATCCCTAATGTACTTTTGACAAGTCAGGACTATGTCATATTCTTCATTGACATAGATGGGACTCCAGAGAACTGACTGGTCACATTATTGTTGCATTTCATTTTTCTGAGGGCCAAAAATTATTACTTTAATATAAATAAATATCATTATAATATAAAGCAGAGAGATGAAGAAAACCAATGACCACAGTTTATGGTACCCTGAGATACCTAAATACAGAAGGAAAGTTGTTTTTCATTCTATTATAAAAAAACTCACTTCTTTTGAGTCAGTTCTGGCACGTAGCTCATAGCAACCCTATATATAGAGTTTCTGAGGCTATAAATCTTTATGGGAATAGTGCGGCTAGTGGATTTGCACCCACAACCTTGCTATCCAACACTTACCCAAGAGTGCCACCTAAGCCCCTTTCATTGAAGCAATTGCTTGTGCCTTCATAATTCTGGAGCTGTGTTGGAATTCTGGTGCTTCCATATTACATGACCTAATCTAACCCTAGATTTGATTTGTTTTCACTGATTCTTTTGTTATGTTGGGAGTGTATTTCAAGTGTCTCCACCCCCCGCAAGTGCTTTTTAATTCCTCAATGCTATATAAATGTCAATTGGGCCATGGTTTTTTTGTTTTTACACTTTTGTTTTTTAATTTATTTTTTAAAATCGTTTTATTAGGGACTCATACAACTCTTATCACACATACATACATCGATTGTGTAAAGCACATTTGTACATTCATTACCCTCATCAGTCTTAAAACATCTACTGTCCACCCAAGCCCCTGGCATCAGCTCCTCATTTTTTCCCCTCCCTCCCCCTCCCCTCATGAACCCTTGATAATTTATAAATTATTGTTTTTACATGTCTTACACTGACCGATGTCTCCCTTAGACTGTGTGTTTTTACAATAAGAAGACAGTTATTTTGGGAAGTGATCAGGATTATGACTTTTACCAGTTAAAGAATGCATACCTTGGAGACATTGCAGGTTCAGTTCCAGACTGTGGCAGTAAAGCGAGTCATACAATTATTTTTGTTTTGCAGTGCATTCATAAGCCTTGTTTACACTGTACTGTGGTTTTTAAAGTGTTCAATAACATGTAAAAAGTGAGAATTACCAAAATGTGACACGTAACAAAAAGTGAGCACATGCTGTTGAAAAAATGATGCAAACCCCTTCCCCCTGAAAAATTTACTTCAGAAGGATAGCACTGAAGTTACAGCTCAGTGAGAGGGATATGTCTGATAAGAGTACACAGGAGCAAATAAAGGGGCAGGAAGAGAGAGTGCAGCAAATTGTGGCCCACCAAGTCTGTAGGACTATATCCCTGCTAAGAGCAGCCAATGCACAGAGAGAACCATATGGCCAGCCCCACTGCAAAACACGACATCCTTCACTAACCCATAGCCCTACGGGGGACAACACTGGAGACACAGTGAGGGAACTTCTGAACCCACCACACGGAGGCAAAACACTAAGGGGATGCAACAGAACAGCAAGGGTAGCAGAGCAAGGAAGTCACAAGGGAGTACTAAAAATACACTTTGGGGCCAGAGCATGGTACCCCATCAGATTGGACAGGAAAACACTCCTAAAAGTCAACAAACAGACCTTGAACTATTTACAGGCTTTCTTTTTTTTTTCCTTCTTTCATTGTTTTGTTTTCTTTTGTCAATTTGTTTTGCTCTCTTGTTTTTTTGTGCGTATTATTATCTGTGCATGTCTATCTAGATAAGATAGGCTGGATAAACAATCTGGAGGAGAAAACA